GGAAAACATTAATTTAAGGTTATCTTTTGAGTGAGTTTTAAGATATTAATTTAGTAATTATAGGCGTCTAATGATTTATTTTTTACGTTACGATATATATTATTATTAAATTAAAAACAATAAACATATATATTACATATTTATTATTATCTTTGGTTAATATTGTTAAATTTAAATTCTAAATATTATTTTATAAAATATCAAAACAATCAAATAATTTTTTGTGTAAATGAAATTCTTAAATTAATATTGTAGGTGGAAAACATGAAACACTATTAAAAAAATTGAAACATAAATTACATAACTTTAAAAAAAGTATCGATCATTTTTATAAAAAGTATGGACACTTTCAATATAATAGGTAAAAATATGATGTAATAGGTAGCGCTTATATAATGTAATAGGTATCGTTTATATAATGTAATAGGTAGTGCTTATATTGTAAAGTATCTATTCTTTTTTATAAAAGTGTCCATACTTTTTTCACTGTGGAAAACATTAATTTAAGGTTATCTTTTGAGTGAGTTTTAAGATATTAATTTAGTAATTATAGGCGTCTAATGATTTATTTTTTACGTTACGGTATATATTATTAAATTAAAAAAAATAAACATATATATTACATATTTATTATTATCTTTGGTTAATATTGTTAAATTTAAATTCTAAATATTATTTTATAAAATATCAAAACAATCAAATAATTTTTTGTGTAAATGAAATTCTTAAATTAATATTGTAGGTGGAAAACATGAAACACTATTAAAAAAAATTGAAACATAAATTACATAACTTTAAAAAAAGTATCGATCCTTTTTATAAAAAGTATGGACACTTTCAACATATTATAATGTAATAGGTAAATTTGCAATGCTATCGGTATAAATATACCGGTTTACTTATAAAATAGGTAAATATAATCGCTACCTATTACATTATATAAGCGCTACCTAGTATGTTATTGTACTTTATAATATTTCCGGTTAAATAATATAACATAACCGGTCTAAATTTTAACCGGTCACTTGTTTAACCGGTCACGCCGTATATTAGCCGTTTTTAGGCGCCGCACCGCAGAACTCCTCTTGCACCGCACATGGGAAGAATATGGGGTTTAGAAAATATTTATAAGGTAGAACCAATATATTAATTAGTGAATGTGCAAGTTATAAGGCCCTTTGAACTTTGATAGGTTATTGGATCATTGTAGGTGTTCATGTCGTTTTTACGTGCTTTCTTTTTAAGTCTGGCGCACCACCAGATTTGGGACTAGGTTCTTCTTCTTGTACTAGTTTATTTCACTTTTGGCTTAAAGATTGGGGGCGAGGTTGCATGTTTAAGCTTTTGCATTGTTATTGATTCCTTTGGTTATGGGTTGTCTATACTCGTTGCCTCAATGTAGGTTTGGAATTTGTTGATCACTCACTTTAATTTAGACGAAGAATTGTAAATAAAAAGTAATCTTTGTATATTTATTTGTTCGATTCTCGTTCTTTGCCTATCTTTTTTCATTAACAATATATATATATATATATATATATATATTACATTTTTAACTATCTAAAGTCAGTTTATAGATGAAGTTAAATTAGAGGTAAGAATTCAAAACCTGATAAATCAATGTTTTTTTTCTTCTCGTGGTAGAACCTTTATTTATTGTCTATGGACTTTAGAGTCGGAATCTTTTGAGGCGAACAATAGTGATAAAGATTGGTAGATAAAAGAATTGAGTGATACATACCATATATAACAAAAATATGGATATGCCGTTTGATGCGTTAAAAGGACAAATGAATTTGGTCAGAAAAATGACCTTTTTCATCGTAAGGAATCAAATCAATAAATTAAAACAAACTTGGCTCCTTTTATATATACTAGTTTTTAGGTTGTAGAATAGAACCTTCCTCTCCTATTTTAATGTGCAACTATATTCAAACCATTGGTGGCAAGGCAACGACAAAAGGTAGGTATAGCCTTGTAATCTCAGCTACCTCTTTCCTATTAGATTTTGATTCCTTTACCAATCTCTTTAACTAGATATTAGTATTTGAATTTTAGAAGCTTAACGGTAGACAGTTAATTAAACAACCAATGGATATGTATTTATTTTTTAATAATCTGATATAATTATAAGGTAATATATGTTTATAATTTTTTTTATACATATACATCCTGCAAACGCGGCTACCAATGCTTTCAATAATTCTTGTTTAAATCGTATGAAACAACATGCCTTTAATTTTGAAATGTTTGGTAATCAAGTACTGCACAAAAAAGTCATGCACATCCACTTGTGAAACCTTAATTTTCTTTCGTATTACTCTCCCAATCAAGTGTACCAACCACTAAATCATCTACACTCAACATTAATCGATTAAAAATCGAGTCCAAATTTAATAAGTCGGTATAAAATTAATTGAACAGATAAAAGAATCCGAAAAATATTGAAACATAAGCTATGAATGTGAATGTTGGTATCATCGCATGTTTTGAGAGACGATGTTGTTATTATATATTCTTCGATTTCAACATCCCAAATTTGTACTACTTCCCTGTCTGCCTTCATTTCAGGAGTGGCTGTCTGGGGAGGTGCCATATGTCGACCTCACAGTGTAAAGGGACAGCATCCAATGATGCAGCCGGTAATAAAATAGTAAGCTTTTGCATTGTTTTACGAGGTAGTCCGTGAGAGAGGAGCAAAAGCAAGGGGAGTTGAACAGGGTTCCCATGTTTCATGTGGGTTTGTCCAATGCCTGCTTGTTAGGACACATTCAAACGTTTCTCCCGATGTATATTCAGTTTATTCATTGGGATCAGTTTTATTTTATGTGTCAGCTCTCAGCTTATCTGTTTTCTGCAATGAATCCAGGAACTAAGATGCTCGTCCACAATTCAACCTTATTATTATTAAACACCCTCAAAGTGTACAATTTTGGCCGCCACTTTATTATATAATATTTTTATATGCTGTCTATCGTTCATGTATATTCTTTCGGGCAGCATATCCGGAATTACTTGAAGCACATTCTTATCTCCAATTTTACTCAAAAACATCAACTTTTTTAAACAATAATCAATATTCATTTTTACAAAAAAAAATACAATAAATAATCCTTTTGGTAATAAATGTTTTAATAAATATAAGTTTTGAAAAATATGAATAAATTTAGTAGAAGGTGATAGCCGCCTTATTACAAGGGTAGACAAGTCGCCTAATGGGGGCGGTGGGCAGGTCTAGATTTTTGTCCAATTCAAAACGGCATCTTTCAAGCCTGCCCTCCCCAATTTCACATTGCTTTTCCTAAAAGTATATTTCGATTTTATTCCAGAAAATATCTAAATGTTTTCTTGACCTAAGACATTGATTCTTGAGAATACAATCACACCATTTCTCTTGTGAAACAAATCTTCAGAAATAAAAAAGTCAATTTATGGTTCAAGTACTTTTAGTACTCTTATTCAAAATTATCATTAAGTTAAAACTCCATTAACTTTGATCAATTCCAGCGCATCGCTAAAGTGACTACAATCTTCACTTTAGAGATGAATTTCAACTCCAACCCATCGCCATTTTAATGTTAGATTATGGCGACAGCTACAATTGCACGCTACAACTGACGTTGCACTGTAGTTGCGCTACATATTATATATATATATATATATATTTATTTATTTACTTTCTTTTGTTATTTTTTTTCTTTTCCTTTTCTTTGTTACAGTATTTTGGTTGATTTTTCACAATAATGCAATTGAAAAAAAATTGTTCGAATATGGTACTCTCGAAATTATTTCAAGTGAATGAACTGAAGACGCATTGGAGTCCAAGCGACTTACATATAAATTTGGGGGACGCATCTTATTTTTTTCACCAATTTCATTGCTATGTAAATGTACAAAGGGTAAATTACACAATTAATCATTCAACCTTACTCTCTCTCCAAATTCACTCACTGTACTTTTAATTTTTTCAATTTAATCACTCAACTTTTATTTTACTCCTATTTTGATCACTCTACAATGACATGGATTGTTTTACTCCTATTTTGATCACTCATCGACCATTGTTCAAGTTGTTATATGGAAGGCAATTTGATCCATCAGCTCTAGCATTGAATTTGTGTACTAAAGAAACCAACATCGTGCTCACATAATTTCTAATTGAAATTGGGTTTAGGTGGGAGTTATGACCCCCACTAATTTAGGGTATAATAAAAATAAATTAAAAACAATTTTTTTCAACTTCATTATTTGAGAAATTCAACCCATTATTTTCTTTGTTACATTATTTTTGTAATGTTATTTATGAATGTTTTATTTATGCTTTTTATCTTGATATTTATTAGAAATGTATATGTTTTATTTTATATTTGCAAAATCAATATTATAATAGTTAAATATTGTGAATAAAGTAGAGATGGTGGTAATGTAGAGATAATGCTGGAGATGAATTATTATTTCATCTTTAGAGTATAGATAAAGATGCTGTAGAGAAGAGATGAGGGCTGGAGATGGCCTTAATAGTAAAGGAATTGTTGTTATTCTTTGAGATTTCGAATTCGAGTGGCATAAATAACAGGGGTACGAGCATTTAATATCAAAAGGTTAATAGTTATTTTTAAGCATATACTGCACTGTACTTACCCCAAATTAATCAATAAAAATTAATCATTATACTTTTTATTTAATATAATTCAATCTTATATATATATATATATATATTCTAATGGAAGGAGTGTTTGTAACGAATATCCACGTCGAAATTTTGACCATAATGATTATCATTAAGATTAATTAGTGATATTATAGGAATAGATAATCAAAGCATGACAAATTAAAGTATAAAGACTAAGTCCTAATTTAATCATGATATAAGGACCAAAACCACATTTTGACCCCAAAATATCTTCAATCTCTCCCTTCTTATATTAATCTTTTCCTTTCACATGTAACGACACAAGGGAGTTTTCATGGATTATTCTCATGCTATTCTGCCCATAAAACGCTAAGCTTCGTTCATGCCATAAAATCTTATACCTCTTCAAATCTTTCTTTTGGATCTATGTTTCTCTATCGTTAACTCTTTCTCTCGAAATATGATCATGAAAGATTCATATGGAGAAGAGGAGCCATTGAATCTCAGCCTGGCAATTATGGCAGATCCCGGCGTTGAAAAGGTTCACAGGAAGAGGAAGAGAAAGGTTCATGCTTGTAAGCCGCCATTAAACAACGTCCCATCCTCTTATTACGAAGGTTGCGAAGGGAAGATCTTTAAGCTTCTTCAACTGAGAGAAGAGATGTTAAAGCTCGATCATCACAAGAGAAAAGGTGTAGTACTCGAAGACGGTAAAGGCCTTCATTTGATCCATTTGCTGCTCATCACCGCCACCTCGGTCGACGAGAACAATGTGATCTCGGCCTTGGACAATCTCGCACAACTTTACCAAACTGTGTCGTTAACGGGGGATTCGGTTCAAAGGGTCGTCGCTTATTTCGCCGACAGCTTACTCGCAAGGCTTCTCACTCGGAAATCACCTTTCTACGACATGATAATGAAGGAGCCGACCATTGAAGAAGAGTTTTTAGCTTTCACTTGTCTTTATAGGGCGTCACCTTATTACCAGTTCGCTCATTTCACTGCTAACCAAGCTATAATCGAAGCCTTTGAGAAAGAGGAAGACGTCAATAACCGAACATTGCATGTTATCGATTTCGATGTCTCCTATGGCTTCCAATGGCCTTCCCTCATTCAATCACTCTCCGAAAAGGCTACGACTGGTAACCGGATATCGCTTCGTTTAACGGGCTTCACAAGAAGCTTAGCACAGCTGCAAGAAACCGAGAGTAGATTAGTGAGCTTTGCAAAAGGATTCCGCAATCTGGTCTTCGAATTCCAAGGCTTGTTAAGAGGTTCCAAGCTGATTAACCTTCGTAAAAAGAAGAACGAAACGGTTGCTGTGAATTTGGTTTTCCATTTGAATACTTTGAATAAATCTACCAAAGTATCGGAGACGTTGAAATCAGTGCATTCGCTTAGGCCTTCCATTGTTGTGTTAGTTGAACAAGAAGGTAGCGGAAGCCCGAGAAGCTTCCTATCGAGATTTATGGAGTCTTTACATTACTTTGCAGCCATGTTTGATTCATTGGATGATTGTCTCCCACTAGAAAGCGCTGAGAGATTAAGCATTGAGAAAAAGCATCTAGGGAAGGAGATCAAAAGTGTGATCAACTTTGACAAGGACGAGGAAGATAGTGAATCGTTTCCGAGCTATGAAAAGATGGAAACATGGAAGAACAGGATGGAGAGCCATGGGTTTGAAGGGATGAAACTGAGTTCCAAGTGTTTGATACAGGCGAAACTTCTGCTGAAAATCACCACCCATTATAGCCCTCTTCAGTGTGAAGGAGATGTCAATGGTGGGTTTAGAGTTTTTGAAAGAGATGAAGCAAAGGCTCTCTCTTTAGGGTGGCAAGATAGGTGCTTGCTTACTGCATCTGCATGGCAATGTGCATGATATGACTAGATTGAACATTATCTGCCCTTTATCTTTTCTTTCCTAACTCATTCATATCATTTATAACTGTAACATTTTATGATATAACGATGGACTTTGATTTTTGGTACCCTTTAATAGCTTTACACATGTTTTCATGGCAATGCAATCATTTGATTTTGTTTCTAAAGTTAAGATCTTTTTTTTACCAATATAATCCCCAAATAGTGAACAAGAAGAAAACCCAATCCCCAAATATCAACCTTGAAGTTTGTGTTTTCTTTTTTGTAACATTAAGTTATTGAAGATTTGGCATGTGGAAAAGTTCAGCATCAATTCAAGGGGCACACATAATGATAATAGTTTTTTCATTCATGCACAACTAGAATGAATAAATTTACAATCCTATAGCCAGTGCTAACAAGTGAATGATTTCCAACTCTAAAAACAATTCTTTCGCATAACTGATTCCAGAAATTAAATAATGAGAAAATAACCTCAGTGACCAAAAATCCCATATAATATACGATTTTAACCAACTTTTTCCGGATTTGCCGAAATGACCAACAAAATCGCAATGCGATCGCTAATTCGCAACGCGATCTCCATTATCGCAAATCAGTTTCCAGATTCGCAACGCGATTATGACTATCGCAATGCGATTTTCCAATTTCGCATTGTGATTTTCCCAATTCGCAATGCAAATAAGAAAATCGCAATGCGAATTTGGAAAATCGCAACGCGGTACTGACTATCGCAACGCGATAATACAAAATCGCAACGCGATACTGACTTTCGCAACTCGATACTTAATTTCGCAACTCAATACTGACTTTCGCAACGAGATAATACATAATCGCAATGCGATTTTCAAAACGCCATAAGTATCGCAAAGCGTATTTTATTTTCAAATTCCAAACACGAATATTAATATATTGGAACACTGAACCGTCCACAGTATATCCCGTAATCGCAACTCATAACCTAAAACCTAAAATCACAACTCAGTCCCATCTCCATCTCTCACTCTCTCACCCATCTCCGACGAAATCCGTCCCCATCTCCGGCGAAATCCGTCTATCTCCATCTCTAAGAGCCATCCTCACAATCAGAAATGGAAAATCAACCAAATCAACCACCGAGGGTTAGTTTTTTTAATTATTTTCTTTTTGAAAATTTTGCATTATTATTAGGTTTTTCATATTGAAATTGATGATAAGTTTACTGGTAATTTCAATAATAGATTAACCATTTCACTTAGATTGCTTATTAAATCAACCGAGAATCGCAACGCGAAATGAAAATCGCAACGACAAAATCGCAACGCGATTTTATTCTCTCGTTGCGATAGTCAAATTCGCGTTGCGATTGCCATTTTTGTGTTGCGATTTTCATTTTCAGAAACTATTCTTCTTCTGCAAATTGAAACTTGAATGAATTGCATTACTTCAACAAAAAAACAAAGACAAATAAGAAATTCACAGTGTTGCAAATTTAAGTTTGAAGAATAAACTACTACTCTTTATGTTTATTATTGTTTTTGGTATATCTTCACAGTGTAGTTTTTGGTATATCTAACTTAGTATGTTTATTGTTTTTGTAGAACTTTTATTCGGCTCAATTGACCTTAAGAAATAAAGTCAGCCTGGCCAAAACAATTGCGTCGAAGCTTTCACCTGCACAAAGAAAAATGTTTGAGGATACTTGCTTCGGGCCATGGCTGAAAGTACAACATCCCGGTGGAGATGCGATGTTGACACACCTGTTTCTTCAAACCATGACTAGGGATCTACCAGATACTATACAACGTCGTGATGAAGAGATATGGTTTGATTTTCCACCGGCGTATACGTGTTTTGGGCGGGAGAAGTTTTGCTTAATCACCGGTCTACGCTTCGGACACGATGATGTAGGTCGGTACACTAGACACATTACCCGCCCATCATGGTTATCTCGGGTTTTTCCTGAGCTGGAGAGGCCGAATCTACACGTGGAAGACTTGACGATATTATTGAATAAGAAAGATGGTTTTACTCGGATGGATGACGTCGATGTTGTCCGAGTATGCCTTCTAATACTTTTGCATGCCGGTTTTTTAGGCAGAGAGGCCAGACAACCTATTCCGAATGATCTAATCAAATTGGTAGAAGACCTAAATGCGTGGAACCTGTTTCCATGGGGCTGGTATTTATGGAAAGCTACATGGAATTAGTTATCGTCTGCCTTAGATGATCGAAAAAGTTTGCATGGCGATGGTTCCAAATACACTTTGACAGGCTTTATTTGGGCCTTTAAGGTAAGAATTTTTATATAATGTTTCCAAAATTATAAGTAATTATTTAACAATTACTAATGTTTGTTATTATATTGTTTGTAGATTTGGATATTTGAGGCCTTTCCCGCCATGAAGACATATGCAATAAAAACTTCAAATGATATTCCCAGGGCTATTTCCTGGAAGAGGAAACGGACCTTGCAATGGGAAGATTTACTACGGTATACGACAATAAATAATGTAAGTTAACATAAATACTACCATATGTTTATAAACAAGTTATTACTAGTACACGTTTAACTTTGTTTGAGCTTTTATATTGTTAGGAGGCCAACACTCCATTACAGTGGCTGACACCCACGGAAGCTGAGCTTGCCACTGATTGGTGGCAAGCTAGTAAGCATTTTTTTGATGGCACGGATGATGAGCAGCCTCCACTTCGGGAGCCATCACCTCACCCAGAGCTATCACCTCACCCAGAGCCATCACCTGATCGACCCGACTATACACCTCCACAACGACAGCCATCACCTATTCTATCACATCATCGAGCCTATTCTCCACCATCACCGCAAGATAGGCGACCGGCAAAGATGCCACGACGTTTATCTCCCTGTTCTCTACCTCCACCTCCACGGGATGAGTTAGGAGAGTTACGTGATGAGGTCAATGCCTTGCGTGAGGAGGTCGGTACTTTACGCAAAGACGATGGTGCATGGCGTATTGAGGTGTCTACTTTACGCGGTGAGGTAGCCGCTCTACGTGAGATGGTAGCATCGTTGCAGAATGAGGTTCATACTCTACGCAACGAGGTAAGTTTAAGATTTTTCATATTTAACTTGATGATAAATTTACTCGTAATTTCACTTAGATTAACCATTTCACTTAGATTGCTTAATAAATTCATTCGGTTGCTGCCAATACTGCTAAACTGTTTTTGTTAGTATTTGTTTTTGGTTTTGTTTTTGTCTTTTGGTTGAAGTAATGCAATCCATTCAAGTTTCAATTTGCAGAAGAAGAATAGTTTACTTTCGCAACACGAAAATGACTATCGCAACGCGGAAATGGCTATCGCAATGCGAAATAAAAATCGCAACGACAAAATCGCAATGTGAAATTAAAATCGCAACGCGAAATGAAAATCGCAATGCGATTTGTATTTCGCGTTGCGATTTTCATTTCGCATTGCGATTTTGTCGTTGCGTTTTTCATTTCGCATTGCGATGGCCATTTCCGCGTTGCGATAGTCATTTCCGCGTTACGATAGTCATTTTCGCGTTGCGAAAGTAAGTTTCGTGTTGCGAAAGTAAACTATTCTTCTTCTTGAATGTTTATATATGTTGTCCTTTTAAATATTTATATAAGTGCTTACTTCTGGAATGTTATCTGATGCATTTTGTGAACTATGATAGAATAATGACTTGGGTGAATACAATGCAAGTTTGAAACATATTTGTCTTTGTTTAATATCATGTCTGTTTATTTACTGATTTATGTATTAATTTTTTTTAGCGGCCCGATAAGGTGGATGCTTTACGTCGGGTTTTCCTTGCACGACGGAGTTCACGCATCAGACGGCATGCACGTGCTATTACATCTCCGTTCACCCCAATGGTGCAAAGACTCCGCAAGAAGAAGCCCGACTCACCTGTCATTCGTCAAGAGTCCCCTCCAATCGTTCAAGAGGCCCCTATCATCCCTCAAGAGTCCCCCCCCACCGTTCAAGAGGCCACTGTCATCGTTGAAGAGATCCCTCCCACCATTCCAGAGCCCGATTCACATGGGGTAATATATCGAATTATTGAGAAACCTCCACCGTTGCCGGACATGATGGATGAGAGTTGGCTCTCGTATGAGTTACCGGCTAGTACCCTTCCGGTATCTGAAGTGGAGAGGAGACAACTACCGTAAACAATTCTGGATAATACCCTTTGGGCTAAGACCGCAGTTGATTTTTATCTACATGAGCGGAGCCAAGGGTGTTACACTGACATAAGCAAACTCAACGATGAGATATATTTGTTGCTTAATCGGTCTTGGTGGGGTGTGTTATTAGGGGTTGAAGACAGTGGCTATTTCGATGGGGAGGTAAGTCTTATATTTGACTTATATATGATTTTGATTAATTTTTTTAAAAATTAATGTAATTCACTAATATATGTCTTTTTTTTTGTAAAACAACATATCGATGCGTGGGTGTCACGTCTTCTAATAATAAGGAAGCTTAGGAAAAATAAAAAAAAAATTCGCGATATACAATAATGTCGGCGGCTTTTTACGCAGTTCACTTGAAGAATCAACGAGATGAATCATTTTCGTTGGGCAATGGACAAGCTAAACTTTATCCTGCATGGTGGGAGGTCGATAAGATTAGTGTTTTTTTTTTAAATTTTTTAAAGGTGTTCATAAATAAGTGCGCAAATAATATTAAAAGTGCACACATAAAATACACATAATACAACGTTTGCATTTAAAAATCACCTAAGTTAACAGTCCCAAAAGGTGAAGCCGGTTGTGATTAGGATTTTGAAGATGATTGCGATTTTCAGAATCTCATTGCGAAAGTTAGAATCCCGTTGCGATTTTTTATTATCTCGTTGCGATAGTCAGTATCGCATTACGATTTTCCAAATTCGCATTACGATTTACTTATTCGCATTGCGAATTAGGAAAATCGCAACGCGATACTTACTTTCGCAACGCGATAATACATAATCACAATGCGATTTTCAAAGTTCGCAATAGGTTTTAGTTTCGCAACACAAATTTTTTGT